TAATTCACAATCAATCTATTCTAATAAACATTAGAGAAGCCTGAAAGTAAGGAGTATACTTTACCTACAGAAAGTCAGAGCACTAAATTAAGGACTGCCTACAGAAGCAATAGTACATCTGTCAGGTTATTAGAGTAATAACAAGTAACAAGTAGGATTTGTAGTAAGAAGCCTTTTCTACAAATCCAGAAGTCACCTCAGAACTCCTGAACTCTAACTATGTACTCTAGGATTTTGTAGAGGCCTAACAGTGAATGTAGTACTGAAGGGTTATGACTTGGATTTTTTAATGGCTACTTTTGATTCAATAGACACTGTAGGATTAGAAGTAAATAAAGTAGAAAAAGCAGAAAAAGTAGAAAAAATAAATCAACAAAATTATTTATTAGAAAGAAAAAAGTCAAAAACAAAAGTAGATAGTTCTCCTATTTCTCCTGATTCTTTTGATTCTTCTCTTTACACTTCATCCAAGTCTAAATCTACACAATCCAACCTACTACTTTTACATTCTAAGATTTTAGAATGTTTAGAATACTACCTAGCCTTATTCACTACTCAGTAGTTTGTCTGTAGTATTAAGTAGGGATAGTCTCAGCTGAGTTTACAGCTAAGGACATAGGTCCATCCTTGTTGAAAGAGAGAGGTTAATGAGGAAATGTTAGTACATATACTCACTCTCTTAGACAATAAGACTATACAAGCTATATGTTCCCTTCAGAACAAGTAGTAGTTTATCTAAGGACATTCTAGACACTAGCTTCAGGTTCCTATCCTCTTAGCTCCCTTCTCAGAATTCTCCCAGATCTGAACAATAGCTCTAGTAGACAGTAGATACACTAGTTTGTATATTAATAAGGCCTTTGTGTAGGAACACCACCTCTCTACTCAACACATTCTACTTCTAATCCTAGTATACAATATGGACAGAACTCTGAACCAGAATAGTTGGATTACTGAGTTTGTCTAACTACAGATGACCATTCAGGATTATAAGGAAAGTATTAAGTTTAGAGTCACTAACCTTAGAAAGACAGACATCTTTATTAGATTCAAATGGCTCAAGGCTTACAACCCTACTATTAACTAGTTAGAGTAGACACTTGTGTTTAATCAGTGTCCTAAGTCTTGTAACTACCTTGTACTACTGTTCTGAGTAGATATGAACACTTCTAATGTTACTAACAGTTCTAATGAAGGTGACCAGTTGTTCTTCTTTGACTAGGATAGATATGTAGATACATATTCTAGTCAAGGTAGAATAGAGTCAATCTAAAGGATGTCTGAGACAGAACCAGTCTAGAACCCTCTCAGAACAACTCTACTCTAGAACACACATAGACTCAGCCTGCTAGATTTTGTCTAAGAGTTCTCTAAAGTCTTTAGTGAAGAGGAATTTGACTAGCTTCCTAAACACTATCTCTAGGACTATACAATTGAATTGACTAAGAGTTTCCAACCTAAGGATTGTAAGGTCTACCTGCTCAACAGAGACAAGCAGGAGGTGCTTAACAAGTTCCTTTAGGAAAATCTTCAGAACAGTCAGATCTGACCCTCAAAGTTCTCTATAGTCTCTCCTTTCTTCTTTGTCAAAAAGAAAGATAGGAAGCTCTACCTAGTCTAGGATTATTATTGTCTTAATAAGGGTACTGTCAAAAACAAGTACTCACTCCCCCTGATTTAGGAGCTCATTAATAAGACACATACATTTAGGGTTTTTACTAAGTTGGATGTTTGATAGGGATACAATAATATTCAGATCTAAGACAGAGATGAGTAGAAGACTGTGTTCTAAACCAATCACAGATTGTACAAACCAACTGTAATGTTCTTCAGACTAACCAACTTGCCTGTAATGTTCCAGTCATTTATAAATCACATCCTTACAGATCTGATTGACTTAGAGTATGTTAGTGTGTATTTAAACAATATTCTGATCTTCACTCAAACAGTTAAGCACTATTACTGACTAATCTAAGCAGTTCTACAACAGCTCTAAGATAATAAACTGTTCCTCTAAGAAGTAAAGTACTCTTTTACACAGGAGTCAGTGGATTATCTAAGCTTTGTAATTAGTGGAGGAGAGGTCTGTATGGATCTGGCAAAGGTAACTACAGTTTGGAACTGGCTACAACCTTAGAACCTGAAACAGGTCTAAGTGTTTCTTAGGTTTGCAAACTACTACTAATACTTTATTTAAAGCTTTAGTACTATTGCCTGGCCCCTTCACAATCTCACTAGCAAAGATGCTCCTTAGTAATAGGATGATTAGTAGTAGTCTA